GGGAATCGACCTCATGCGGAAGTGGCTTTAGCTTCTCAGTGCAGTGCTTTAACCCGCTGCGCCACCAGGGAGGGCCCTAAATGAATTATTTTAGAAGACGTGAGCACTGAGGTTTATGTTGGAGTTCTGGTGTGTTTTTTTTTGTTTGTTTTGTTTTGGTTTGTTTTTTTTAAAGATTTATTTATTTGTGCATACAGAACCGGGGTGCAGGCCAGAGGCGCAGGGGCGCTGAGAGGCTTCCCCAGAGACAGAGCGGGGAGCAGGACAGGCAGACGGACAAAGTCCACTGCTGAGGGGAGCCGCGGGGAGACAGGAGGGGTCTGCCGCGCCCTGGGGGTCCCCTTTATTTTCTTGGGTGCTTTTTTCTGCTTGCTACTTACTGGGGCCTCCAGCTGGTAGGCGGGGCCTCCTGACAGCCCCAGAAACACGCCTCTTCTCATGAAGCCCCCACAGCCGTGACCTGGAGTGAACTCGGTGCAGCAGGCTTTCATGTTCTTACTTGCTAGAGAGAGCTACAGGTTTCTGCAATCCGGGAAAGTAGAACTTTCCTGAGAAACCATTTGCCGCTAAATGGCTGCGTGAAGAATTCTTTAATTTTTTTTAAGACTTATTTATTGATGCACACAGAACTGGGGTGCAGGCCAGAGGGGCAGGGTGGTGAGAGGACTCCCCAGAGACAGAGCGGGGAGCAGAACAGGCAGATGGATGAAGCCCACTGCTGAGGGGAGCAGCGGGGAGACAGGAGGGGTCAGCTGCGCCCTGGGGGTCCCCTCCGGGGCCGGGATCGAACTCACACTGCGGCTGCATTAGCCCGCTCTAACCCGCTGCACCCCCAGGGAGGCCCGGGCTTCTTCCTCATGTATATACGATACTTTTTGAGCATTCCCAGTCCTGAAAGTTAATCTACCGACTTGTACCAAATGGCCTTTAAAACCCAAAACCGCACTTGACCTGGCAAGACAGAAGTGCCCTGATGGCGTGCGGCCTGAGAAAGCAGAAATAATGTCGCCCCAGCTCTGGGCCACTTACCGGACTGGGGAGACGGAGCCCTGGGACTTGGGGACACTGGGCTGTCGCGGCTGGACGCCCCCCCGCGTCCTCGCCTCGCTCCATCGGGGGGGCCGCTGACGTCCGTGTGCACCTCCTTTGTGCGTGGCCCGCGGGCCAGAGGCAGGGGCTGTGCGGGCTTTCCTCGCGGGCCAGTGAATCAGTGCTCCCGGGCGCAGCCCGGCGGCTTCCAGAAAGCACCTGTAGCTTCACCGACTCCCCGGTTAACGTGAAAACGGGGGTGTTTGATCCAGGCTCCAAGGAGATTGCAGAACCTCGGCAGGTGCGGGAGACCGGGTTCGCCTCCTGTACAGCTGGTCGCCGCTACTGTGGCTGCCCGGAAATGGCCGTGTGCTCTCGCCAGTGTGAGAATATTAACCCTGAAATCCAGCCGGGCCCCGACATTGCCTGGGCTGCCGGCATCTGAGTTCATCTCGAACCTTCTGCCCCTTCCTTCCTTTGCTTCCTGCTCGCACCTGCTTTCTCACCTGGAGCCTAAGCTAAGCACCTGCCCGCTTCTCCACCGCCTCGGTCCGCGTTGCCGTGAACTGGGTGTTAAGTCTCTTCTGGCTGAAGTCGCCACAGTTGAAGCCTGATTGGGCAGCGATGCGCCACCCTGGCGCCTCGAGGGACCTCGGTTCGAGGCCCCCTGTAGCGGGGGGCCCCGGATGGGGAAGACACCCACTTTTTTTAAGATTTTACTTATGCATACAAGAACTGGGGTGCAGGCCAGAGGCGCGGGGGTGAGAGGACTCCCCAGAGACAGAGCGGGGAGCAGAACAGGCAGATGGATGAGGTGCACTGCTGAGGGGAGCAGCGGGGAGACAGGAGAGGTCTGCCGCGGCCTGGGGGTCCCCCCCGGGGCGGGGATCGAACTCTTCCTGCTTCACCCCATCCTATCAAGGTGCTTAAGTGTCTTCACCGACTGCAGTGAAGATGGTCTGAAAGGTTTGGAAGACATGAATAAGCTTCTCGGTGTTTCGTGGGGTAGCTTTAAAAGTGGATTATTCGTTTTATTTTCCAAAGTCACGCGTCCTTTAAAATTGTGTAACTGGCTACATGGTTTTGGTTGATTTTTTTTTTTTTAAAGATTTATTGATGCACACAGAGCTGGGGTGCAGGCCAGAGGTGCAGGGGCGGTGAGAGGACTCCCCAGAGACAGAGCGGGGAGCAGGACAGGCAGATGGACGAAGTCCACTGCTGAGGGGAGCCGCGGGGAGACAGGAGGGGTCTGCCGTGCCTCGCTGGTCAGCAGCTGCTCTCCACTGGTCAGGGTAACACTTCGCTGGACACCTTCTGAGGCAAAGACCGGTCACATCATCCCAGGACTGTCCCCTCGAGCGGCAAGGACTGGGTGTGTGTGTGCGGTCAGCCGTCCACCCTGTTGAGAGGGCCGGTGAGAGGGAACGGCCCTCGAGCTGGCACTTCTGAGGGTTTGTTCATCCGTAATTTTAGCTGGCTGGCGAGGCCAGAAAGGTCAGCTCTGAAAGGCCTTTCCAGAGAGGACTAGCAAGGGAACTTGAGCAACTTCAGTGACCGCTACGAGGAGTAACTGTAGTTAGACTTCCCACGCTGTGTCCACGGTCAGTAACCACTCGCCGGTCGCCCTGGTCCGGGGACTCCTTCCGTCTGTGATCAGCTCTCCTCGCCCGGTTTTTTTTTTTTTTTTGTTATTTTGGTTTTTTTTCATTGATGCACACAGAACTGGGGTGCAGGCCAGTGAGAGGCTTCCCCAGAGACAGAGCGGGGAGCAGGACAGGCAGATGGACGAAGCCCACTGCTGAGGGGAGCAGCGGGCGGCTCAGGAGGGGGCTGCCGCGCCCTGGGGGTCCCCTCCGGGGCAGGCGGGGGTTGAACCCTTTGCGCTTCACCCCGCTGCGCCCCCGGGGAGGGCCCTCCTCACCCTGTTTGTGATGATGAATTCAGGTGCCCGCGGGCAGGTGTCGTCCCGCTGCCTGGGGGACAGCTGGGCTTCGGGCTCGGGTGTGGCCCCTCTCATGTGGCCCCTTTCATGTGGCTCCTCTCATCCGTGACCCTCTGCCTTCACACCACGACCTCTCAGCTCCCCAGACGGGGCGGTCCTGCACTCAGTGAACACATTCATGGTTGCACGTGGTGCCGTCCCCCAGGGCTCAAGGACAGAACTGCCTCGTGTCAGACTTGCGGGGGCCCCCCAGCACCACCCAGGGGTGTCTGTGCATGCTAGTTAAGGCCCTGAATTCATCACAGTGCCGCAGTGCTCTGGGAAACTCACCGTTCTTCACCGGGGAGGGTAGAAAGCCAAGTTTGTATTTGTTGGAGAAGAGACAGTGAAGGAAGACATTTTCATGCAGGTTTTGCATAAAGCCAGAGCCCCTGTAGGGTCTGTGGTTATCCCGCAGGGTCTGTCAGGTGGGGTGTCACTGTGAGAAAGGGCCCCAGTGTTAAAGGCTGGGAGCTGAGGAGACCTGGCCAGCGGGAGCCGTGCCTTGTCTTCAGTGAGTCGAGGTCCCCGACCCGCGTGCACGGACTTTTCATTTCCGTTGAGTGGTTTGAGTAGTTTGCTCCTGTGTTTTTATTTTTGGTGGTTTCAAATGAAATAGCTGTCTTCATACTGAATAGACAACTCAAAATTGATGCCCGTTGCATAGAAATGTTAGCGAATGGACTGCTAACTTGCTCCTGCTTGAGCCCCCAAAGATCCTGGTGCCGGGAGGGGTCGGTTTTGCTTGTAGCCTGATTTGAGGATGATGGTTTTGCTGCTACTCGGAGGTGTTTCTCCTCATCTCTTTTTGCTCTCCCCTTAATTTTTCCTTGGAGTAAAACACAACTTTTAAACAATGTTAGCGTCAGTTTTACTACCTGTGTATTACGAACAAAAATTGGTTGACTGTCTACAGCACATAGTCGTTTATTGTCTATAGTAGCGATGTCTGAGGTTCTCAGAAAAAAACAGCCACCACCTAGGATTAGGATGACACTAAATTATTGTCTAGTTCTCTAGATGGAGGTGATGGCCCTGGAAATGAAGGTCCTTTACTTCATATGTCTTAGAAATTCATTCATAATTGATAGCAGCTTAATAACTCAGAATTCTGATAATGTGACTTTTTTTTTTTTTGACGTGCAAGAGCTGGGGTGCAGGCCAGAGGTGTGACGGAGGGGATCTAGGTGCAGGGGGTGAGAGGACACCCCTGAGACAGAGCGGGGAGCAGGACAGGCCGATGGACGAAGCCCCCGGCTGAGGGGAGCCGCGGGGAGACAGGAGGGGTCCGCGGCGCCCCGGGGGTCCCCTCCGGGGACGGGGATCGAGCTCGCGCTGCAGCGGCTGCAGACGGCCTCACAGAGCCGGGCTTCAACCCGCTGCGCCCCAGGGAGCCCCGGGGTTAAGTCAGCTTTATTCCCGTCCAGGGTTATGCCGTGTACATTTTCTCAAAAAAATGTTTTGAAAGGGGGAACGTGTCAGCTTTCGTGAGCTTCTCCGCGTGTCCAAAGTGGTGGTTTGCGGTATTCCATCGCCGCCTCTCTTGGCCTGCTTTGCCTTTTTGGGGTTCGGACAGGTGCGGAGTGAGGGGTACAGCTCACGTCTCCCACCGTCTGCCCTGCGCCCGCCCGCCACTCACAGCTCTGTCTCTGCAGGTGTCACCAAGTACTCGGAGAAGCACAATGGAGGCATGTTGGTCTGGTCCCCCCACCACAGCGTCCCCGATGCCAAGCGTGAGTCTCCCTGAGCGGCCGTGGGCAGCGCCCGCCCTCCAGAAACGCCCCTGGCGCGGCCGGCCGGGCTCCTGCAGGCTCTGAGGGAAGCGGCTCGTCGGCCTGGTCCCGTTGACGGAGGCTGCTCCGGGTGGACGTTCTTCTTTGGAACGATGAGAGGGTTGAGCCTGGCGGGCCCGGGACCCTCGGGGAGCCCGGGAGGCCGTGGCCGCACCCCCGGGGTGTGCACCAGGGCCTCTGTCGTTCTCTCTGTGCAGAGAAGGGGGCCCAGGGGCGGCTCAGACCTGGGTGTCCGCCGCTGGCCCAACCCTTTGTGGCCATCGGCTGTGTCCAGCGTGCCGGTGACCAGACCGAGATGCCCACCCGGTGGGGCAGCCCTGAGCGTCGTCTCGGCCCGCAGCTGTGAGGTCCGCCTGTCGGGCTGAACCTCCCAAGTCCGGCCAGGGCTGCTGCAGCCCGTGGCCACGAGTGCTGCCCGCCCCGCCATCAGGCCGGGTCCCTCACGCCCGTGGCTGCCCGGAGGGGGCGAGCCCCAGACCCGCTGGGCCCCCGGCTTCACCAGCAGGAGGGGTGTCCACGTGGGGTGTCTCTCCGCGCACGCGTTCACCTGAGATCTCGGCGGAGCGTGGGCCCCCTGGAGGCCCCTCCTTTGGCCCAGCAGGTGGCCAGGGTCCCTGCTGTTCGTGCTGTGCAGTCTTCTGTCCATGGCCCAAGACACTGGACCCTGGGCGCGGCTTAGAAATGAGATGTAAAGTGGGATTTTCTGACAGACCGTAGGGAGAGGACACGGCCCAGGAAAAGGCGCCCTGCTGGCGCCCGCCTGCTGGTCTCCTGCTGGCCGCTGCTGGCCGCGGCACATGTGACCTCAGCCTGTGGGATGCCGACCCGCACGCAGCATCAGCAGCGCTTCGGGACACTCCTCCCCGCGCTTCCCAGACGGTAGCTCGGCTTCTAGGTGGGTCCGCGGCCATGGCCGGTTCCCAGGGAGGAGACTGAGGCCTGAGAAGAGGAGCTTGTTCGCCGGCCGCGAGAAACCTGGCAGCCAGGCGAGGGCGAGCCCAGTCGGCCGCCTGCTGCAGGGACCCCTTGTTTTTGTATATGTATTGATTGATGCATACAGAACTGGGGTGCAGGCCAGAAGTGTGGGGGGCGCGGAGGGTGAGAGGACCCCCGAAGACGGGGTGGGGAGCAGAGCAGGCAGATGGACGAAGTCCACTGCTGAGGGCAGCAGCCGGGAGACAGGAGGGGTCTGCCGCGCCCTGGGGGTCCCCTCGGGGGCGGGGGGCAGCGTCAGAGAGCTGAGACTTAACTCCTGGCCGCCAGGGAGGGCCCCGGGGACCCCGTTCTTGACCACCCTTCTGAGAAATGTGCTTGAAGAATTAAAATGAGCGTTTGGTGTGAGGTGTGGGAGAGGGTGAGGAGGCGAACCCCACCAAGTCCTCGTCTCACTGGCAGGGGACCTGACCTGCCCTGACTGGCCCCTGCTGGGGGATGGCCTGGAGGGTGAGCGCGACGCCACCTTCAGGCGGCCGCCGTACTGCAGGCGGAGGATGGGGAGACCCCAGGCCCCTGCCTGTTCTGGGGGGCTGGCCGACTCCCCCAGGAGCCGCCCTTTCCCGGGGTGCAGCCGCACGCCGCGGAGCGCTGGCCTTCTGCAGCCGCCTGGGGATCAGCCCGCCGGGCAG